TGTGTGTGTGTGTGTGTGTACGGGTATGATACAAGATCTCCCGTATGTGTGTGTGTACAGCTATGATACAAGATCTCCTGTATGTGTGTGTGTATGTACAGGTATGATACAAGATCACCTGTATGTATGTGTGTGTTTACAGGTATGATACAAGATCACCTGTATGTATGTGTGTGTACAGGTATGATACAAGATCACCTGTATGTATGTGTGTACAGGTATGATACAAGATCACCTGTTTGTATGTGTGTGTGTACAGGTATGATACAAGATCTCCTGTATGTATGTACAGCTATGATACAAGGTCTCCTGTATGTGTGTGTGTATGTACAGCTATGATACAAGGTCTCCTGTATGTGTGTGTGTATGTACAGGTATGATACAAGATCTCCTGTATGTATGTATGTATGTACAGGTATGATACAAGGTCTCCTGTATGTATGTACAGCTATGATACAAGGTCTCCTGTATGTATGTATGTGTGTACAGATATGATACAAGGTCTCCTGTATGTATGTATGTGTGTACAGGTATGATACAAGATCACCTGTATGTATGTATGTGTGTACAGGTATGATACAAGATCACCTGTATGTATGTATGTGTGTACAGCTATGATACAAGGTCTCCTGTATGTGTGTGTGTGTATGTACAGCTATGATACAAGTGATACAAGATCTCCTGTATGTGTGTGTGTATGTACAGGTATGATACAAGATCTCATGTATGTGTGTGTGTATGTACAGCTATGATACAAGATCTCCTGTATGTATGTGTGTACAGGTATGATACAAGATCACCTGTATGTATGTGTGTACAAGTATGATACAAGATCTCCTGTGTGTGTGTATGTACAGGTATGATACAAGATCTCCTGTATGTGTGTGTGTATGTACAGGTATGATACAAGATCTCCTGTATGTATGTATGTATGTAGAGCTATGATACAAGGTCTCCTGTCTGTATGTATGTACAGCTATGGTACAAGGTCTCCTGTATGTATGTATGTACAGCTATGATACAAGATCTCCTGTATGTATGTATGTATGTACAGCTATGATACAAGATCTCCTGTATGTATGTATGTACAGCTATGATACAAGATCTCCTGTATGTGTGTGTGTATGTATGTACAGCTATGATACAAGGTCTCCTGTATGTGTGTATGTACAGCTATGATACAAGATCTCCTGTATGTATGTATGTACAGCTATGATACAAGATCTCCTGTAT